GGCAGTTTAAGTGCTGCTCTTGATTGACAGCCTCTTGGCCAAATCAGTCAGGATCCTCTGTCAGAGGCTCCAAGATCTACTGGTAGATCCTGATCTACTGGTTGGTGACCCCTGCAATAAGAAGATGGTGGTTCTTTGTCTGTAAGAAGTTCACTTGAAAAGGTGCTGTACCGCCTACCTTCCCAGGGTGAAAAGTCCCAAATCTGAATCCCGGCACCCAAAGTAGAACTGCAGGCTGGGGGCTAGGGGTTGATGATGTCCATTTGCTAAAACCAAAACTCTTGGCAGAAAAAGGTCAGTTTCATCTCATTTCTGATTATGAAATTGCTGGACCACCATCTTTCAACATTTTCTACATGAAATAGGCTAATTCTGCAAACTTGTTTATTTCAAAGTTGAAGTTAGAGTAAAATAAAATAAATGTTGGTCTCAGGATATCACTGAGACAAGGTGGGTATGCTAATATCTTTTAAACAATAATAATACATGTATTGGTGGCACCCATGAAACTGAAAGATAATGTTCATTTCACCTAACCCTCATGTGAACACATCCGGCTGCTGTTTCAGGTATGTGACTGGGGGGGTGGGGAGGGAGGGGAAGCTGTGGCGGGAGAGAAAGAATGGATTGTGTGGCAGGAGAGAAGTTACCTGCCATGCTTCATTTCAAAATGCCTCCGTTTATTTATCAACTTTTTTTTTCTTTGAAAAAAGGATAAAAATGCATTTTCTTAAAAATGCAGTTTATAAATCTGCACATTAGAAAAGAAAAATGGTTGTTTAATATGAATGTACGAGCCCACTGAGCTAGGAGAATGAGGTACTTTGGCACAGGTCATCTGGTGGCATAGACTGGGTCTGACATTGTTATATCTGGCAGGGATTCAGATGCCTCAGACATCTGCCAGGGGATGTGGGATTCTGTTATAAGGAGCGGGAGAGAGAAACACACAAGAAAGCGAAGGGTGGCTTACAGCTATGCACATACGCCCATATAACCCTTCCTCTTTAAAATTCCCTTACTAAGCTCAGGTCCTGTATTTTTATATTCAGAATGAAGTGTCCCGCCCCTCCATCTCTCCCCACCCACCACCACCCTCTCTCCCTTTAACTTGTTAAGTTTGAAAGATGATATATACACACAGTTTGCTCTGCCAGTCAGCCTGTTTAAGGCTAAGATTAATGCAGTGGATTGGTGCAGTGGTGTCGCAGTGGTGCGTGATCAGAATACAAGATGGAATATAGGGGGAAAAGGCCAAGAAATGTGCCTGTGTTCTGAGTTTACACAAGTCTCCTTAGCAACTTGTCTGAATTTTTTTAACGTTGTGTATATGTGCACCAATTCACCAGTGAATAAAACGTTCATCCAGTTTTTAAATAGCCTCATTTTTTCGTTCCCTTTTCCTTTTGTTAAATTAATCGTTTAAATTGATGGCATGACTTTTATTTTTCGAGGGGAAGGTACCGGGAGGGGGGAGAAGGGGAGGAGTGGGTGCCTTGATACTTTTCATTGTGACTTCTAGAGAGTTGGTCTCTTTCCAGTTGTTTCCAACTCAGCATGTGGAATTATTGTGCTTTCTCCTGCTTTGCCACAGAATTGGCAGTAGCCCGACACTGAAACTTATTTGGGCTTGATTTGATTTTTTATGTATGTATTTCAGACCAGGGTTTGTAAAACAAAAGAAAAGGGGACAAAATTGTCCTCCCATTCCTCCCCGGCCCCCAATACATTTTTTTAGTTGACTACTGAAGAATAACCCCCCCATAGGAGGGAGTGCCCTTTTAGTGATCAAGGTATGTTGGATTTTTTTAAGTTGTGTGTTACGGTGTTAATAGCATGAGGAAGAGCTGAGACTCAGGGAGGTGGGGTGAACAAATTACCCTAGAAACGCTACACCTTGAAATAACTCAAGGAAAAATACTTTTGCTGCCTCACTTGAGCTGCTTTCAAAATCTTGCTGTGCGCTTTTTTTTTTTATTCTGAAAAAAAGCTTTCCATGGAGAGGAGGGGGGGGGGGGGGGGGGGGAACAGCGGCGAAAAACAAAGCCAGAAAAATTTTGAAGGCTTGATCTTGGCTTCTATACAAACAGATGTTGCCTGTCATTCCGTTGTTAAGCAGGCACCAGATTGGAGCAAGCAGCAGTTTAGGAGGAACTGCAGTGGAGTTTGGAAAGTGGGAGGGAAATATATGTCTATATTATTTTTTTCTGTTCTGCACATATACATTTTTTCCCCCGGAATTAACTTTAATTACGAAAAGTATATTTTATTTTCATTTTTTATTTTCATTTTTTGTGGGAAAAACAAACCCAAAACAAAACGGAAAAGCACTAGCAACTCTCACCCAAATTTTACCAAAACAGCTTTTTTTTTTCCACGTAGGTGAACATGTGTAGAAAAGGGGGTTCTGTTGGAAAATGCTTAAGGCATTCTCGGTAAGTGAATGTTTACAATGGACTAGGTTAGGATTCTGTTGTGTTTTTTTTTCCTGCTGCAAACCCCATTTCTGATGGGTTTGCCACTAAGTTCTATCTGTAAGTATAAATTGTGAAGATTGAAGGCCTTTTTGTCGCCTTTCCAAGTTTTAGTAACATTGTAAGAACAAGAATCACATTGTTTATACAGTAGAAGTTCTAACGAAACATGGATGCTCTCCATATTGTCGCTCTTTTGTGTGCTGCATGTGCTCGCGGATTTAATCCCCCAGGTTTTTATGCTTTTTTTTATTCCCCCTTCTTTTTATTTTCCGCTTTCTAATCGAATAGTGGCATGCTCAAGAGAAAACATGATGGGGTTTGAGCCGAAAGAGTTAAAGGTTTCTTGGCACAAGAGCAGCAGTTTAGCAACAGATCAATTCATTTAAATGAAAGAAATCACCGACCAAGCCATCCGATTTTGAAATTTCGCATCTTATGCTTCCACTTTAGAACAAAGCTTCCATTTTCTTTCCCCCTATTAATCCTCACTGCTTCTGTTTAACTCTGTTGCTTCTGATAGGAACTTTAATTAGTCAGTCACTTTTCTTTAAAAATATACATGTGTGTATATTTATTTCTTCATTTGGCATTTGTACATGCTGCACTTACCGCCACTGTAAATAATCACCCTTACACTTCAGACCATCCAAACAACTGTTACTTATGGCAGAGTATTTTCTACATTCTAATTTTATAATTGGAAATAGTAAATTTTTGCATTATCTAACTTTCAAATTATATAAACTGTCTGCCACCCAAATACTATGTAAAATATTAGCCTGTATCAATGTCTGTACACATACTGTATACATATACCTATGTGTAGATACGTCTGTAACTCAAGAAATACCTGAGAGATTACTTGATGGTGAGCAATATCTGTATATACAGATCTATATTATATATATACTCATTGTATATTTCTCCAGTATAGCTGTCTGTGTATACCCACATCTGTATATATATTTACTGTATGTCTGTGTGTGTATGCATGTACCCACGTAGACAGGAAAGGTAGACAGTAATCATTAGATTACTATATATTCATCATATTCCATTGTGCCATTTCATTCATGGCTATTTAAAGACTCAAAAGAAATAAAAGCTATTTTTTGTTGTTCATGTGGCGTAGATACATACAAGTTCTTATTCTTGCTGCTATGTTAAATGCAAAAGGGTTCGGGGATTATTTTGTTTGTTGCTGTCTTCGGTTTACACAACCTACCTTAAAAATGGGGCAGTGTAGTCACAATAAACAAATACATTCGGTGAAAGGATTTGCAGCCCTGTATTGAATTTTGATGGTGGCTGCCATGCTGTGATGCCGAATCTGTTCACGGTGGCATTGCATCCAAAAAAAGGGCCATGATGCTTGGGCAGGGGCAAACTTCTCTCAGTAAAAAAAGCAATGGAAGGGTGGAAGTATGGGAACGTTCTTTTGTTAGACTAGCACTCCCCATGTGAAGGAAGGGGAGCGAGAAAGAAGGGGAGCGAGAAAGAAAGAAAGAAAGAAAGAAAGAGAGCGAGAAAGAAGGGGAGCGAGAAAGAAGGGGAGCGAGAAAGTGGAGAAAAAATGCAAGTTGCATCCCCCTCCCCAATGTGTACGTGACCAGGGTGGATCACAAATCTGGACATTTTCTTGTCTCTTTTTCTTTAACTAGCATTCCCAGCTGTTTTGTTGGGGAACACCAGGGTGAGGAGCACAAAGAGCACCCCCAAAATATCAGCAATATTTCTGTGGGTGTCGTTCTGGTTACATCACGGCGCGTTCCTTCCCCGTCTGCGTCCCTGTGCAAAATTCAAATAATTTTTTTTCCTGTTAGCAGCTGTGCATGGTTTTAAGTCAGTCTTTAACGTTGGGAAAGGAACAATAAAATGAAAGGCAAACCCGGCATCTTAAAACTTGGCAAGTGAAAGCAGCTTGGAATGGCAGCCAAGAATTGTACTGTGGTGCAAAAAGAATAGCATCCACGAAACCACCACAATCAGGGGTTTCGCTTCTTTTAACAATCCCTTCGGCAGAGAGAAGTAATTATGCCTAGAATCAGTGGTAAAGAGTCAAAAAGTTAAAATGGTTGCTTGATGAATCTACTCAGATGCAGGTAACGATCCTCTTGTTTGAATTTGATTTACCAAACTTTAATTGTGTGTGGATTTGTACATGATAACTAATCTGTGTAAGATGTTGATACATATAACTAACTATCCAGGAATGTACTTGCAATCCCGATCTCTGTGCTTGCTTTATTTTTATTCATTGCTTTGGGGTATTAGAATTATCGGACTTCTTTTATTTTATGTGCTGCAAGAAATGTGGTTTATTTCCAGATATTTAACTCTTTATGCCGAGGGCAAACAGAGTAAAGGTATAACGTTGACATCTCACAAGCAGTCTTCCTTTTGGGATCTCATCTTTTTCTTTCACGTTCTGTGCTACTAGAAACTCCAGAGTTCGGTGCACAAAGGCAGAATCCGACTTTTTTAAAATGCCACAAAAATATCTGTAAATGTTTTGTTTTCTAGGAAACGTTTGTTGAAGCGTTAGGCCTAGCAAGATGGCAGCGCTTGTGCAATAAGAATTCACGTGAAGTAACACTGCTAAGGTAAAGTAGTTTCTATCAAAGTTTCTATATCATTTGATTTTTTTTTCATTTGAAGTATATCCATCTATTCAGTGTGTTTTCTTTATATGTATATTTATATCAATGATTTTTTTAAAAGGTCTATAAATTCAATAGTTAAAGTAGAAAGGGGGAGGGAAAGAATTGTTTAGAACTTCTGTTTCTTATTTGTCTCATGTTATGATAGAAATATGAAAGGCTGCAAACAGCTTTTACACAGGCAAACAATACATTCCGCATTGATCGGCAATTTTCTTGGAAAATGCATTTTTTGCAGTGTGGTTGCTTGAAAAACCACAGACAGACTCAAACCAATGTTATGCTTTTGCAGACATGTTTTCATATATACATTCGTATATATTCCCCTTAATATTCCTTTGGCGGAAAGGCTGGAAAATGCCAGGTTTCCAGAAGATGAATGCTAGACAGGGGATGCTAGACAAGGGCATTGTATTTTTGTCATCCCTAGTTTCTGGAACCTAATGTTTGTTGATATTATGATCATTTAGATCTTACAACCAATCAAAATTTAAAAATATCCTGGGGAAAAAAGTAAAATCCCTAATAGATTAGGTGAAGTTCATTATTTATAAACTAAAGTTACATGTAAACGTATCACAAAGACAATTGATTCATTTGTCTGTCATGGATTTTCTGCCACTGTTTATCTCTTCATGAGGTTTTTCTACACGTTATTAACAGCTACGTATTAATCTACAAGGGGAATTTTTTTAAACCTCACCTTTCTGTGTAACCCATAGTCTTTTCTCTGGCACCTCAAATGCACTCAGTGGATGTAAAATAAGATTTGAAAAAAACAATACTCCAGTTAAGAGTATTTGTATCTTTGTATCTTTATTTTAATTTGCTTTCTCTATTACAAGTTCACTTTACTGGATGGTTTAAAGTGCTGTTGTTGGAGGGTTTTTGGGGTGGGGGAGGTTGGTTGTTTTTTACAAACACTGGGAATTGACAGCTTGAACCTGGAGACTTTGTCACTTACATCATAGAGATGCCACAAAATGAAATGTGGCCACCACGCTACACTCCCTTTCTCTGGTCTCAAAGGAGTGCAGGAGCCACTCCACAAGATGTATAGTGGGTATGCTCTTGAATGCTAACCCTGACAGTTTGACATGTAGATACATTTCTAGAAAGACCTACTGTAACTTTTTTTTAACAAATATCATGATGAACATTGATTCTTACCCTGAAAATACTTTTGCATTCCCATCCCTTTCCCTTGTTCTGCTTTATAAAGCAACTAGCACATCACGGGAGCCATAGATGGGAAGAGCAACTAAATAAAGGATCAGCTTTTGAATAAGCTTTAGTACCTTGCAGTTCCCATTGTGACTGGGTGCTGAGTTCTTAGAAAATTGGGCCACTTCTTTCAGGACCCACGTAAAAGCTGAACTATAATGGAAATCTTGCCCAAAGGGTCCTAAGTTGGAGTGTGCCCTCAACACCACTGAACGCAGTGAGAATTGGGGGCTCACATTGGTCACAAGAGGCACATCTGGGCTCCAGATCATTAGTTAAATCCCATTCAGCCTAATTATCTTTAAGGGGTCTAGTGATTAGAAGAATGACCGGGAGAAGAGAATATTAGCTTTAAGGGAAAGAAGATTTGGAAACAAGGATCTTAGTAAACAGTTACACACGTTCACACATTATATACCCAGTCAGTAAGGTTCTTAAATTCCTGCCATGCACAGGATAGATTAACCCAGATGAATTTTGGTACTAAGAGAGTACCATTCATTATGGGCTAATACATTGCACCTTTTGAAGGACTAAAGGAAAATTCTTAGCAGTTATACTAGGTCCTTAAATCAGTAGCAAGAGTTGTAATAATGCCTTCTAATGACCTGGTTATAGGGAGAGACTCTTAGTATGTTCTCTGTGTTTTAAACTAGATTCCCTTCAAATATGTCCCTTTGTTGGTGCTTGAGGAGTAAGGTAAGATCTGCCACTCTGAATTTGCAGTTCCCTTATATAGAAATATAACTATTTATAACCTCTGGTCAACACTCAATAAAATGTATGTTCTGTCCCCCTTGATGGGTCACTGCACACACTGGTGGGTCATAATTATTCTTGTATCAGGCTCCTAAATCCATAGTTAGGCTCCTCCCTGAAGGCTATCCCCTGCTTTCAGTGGGATTTCTGGCTGCTGAGAACTTTGGAACACTTGGCCACATTAGGTAGTTGCCTAAGAATTGGTGTAAGAGCCTAACTTTAAGCAACCTGGCTTACAAATTTTGGGCTTAGTTAGTATCTAGACTTCTGGATGGTGGATGAGTAGAAATTCAAGATGAACCAGTACCCAGGAAGGCGAGCTGTTATTCAGTTACCGGTAACTGTGTCTCTTTGCCAAGCTGGGGAGAGTAAATATATATTGTTTTATTCTCAGAACCCATACGACAGAGGTGAGGAACCTTTTTTGGGTTGGGGGTCACTGAACCCACAGAAAAATCAGTTGAGGGCTGCACACAAGTAAGAGGCAAAGTGAGAAGCCCCTGCCTGAGAAGGAGAAAGACCCTCCCCATATTCCCCTTGCACACAGGCGCCTCGGGTGCCCCAAGCTAGTAGATTTTGTGTCCTCCAGCCTTGCGGGTGAGTGGCAGGAGGGCTGGAGTGCCAGCGCAGGCTCCCCAATGCTAAGCCTCAGGGGCCAGATCCAGGCAAGTCAGGGGCTGCATCCAGCCCCAAGGGTACCCACCATACAAGATGAGAAGCAAGCAATTAAAAATGACGCCTGCAGCATCATTGCTAAACATGAGTTGGCCATATCGTATGAAGAATAATACTCAGTTTTGCAAGTTCTTCTCTGTTGTCTGACATATAAGGAGAGGTAGAAAAGGGACGTTTGTATGACTTTTGTGGGGGGAGGAAGGTAAGCAAGTATATCTCAGTAGGCTTAATATTCATATATTCCATTCAGAGTTTGCAGGATCCTTATTCTCCCATTTCCACCAATTGCTCACATTCAGTGTATTGCCATTGACTTCAAGTGTGAATTAATTACATAGAAGAAAAAAAAATTAGAACATCAGGATAATGTTGTTACAATGACAAAAGTTTATTCCTTGATTAAGTCAAATCCTATGAGAAATAAGAAAACATTCACATGGTTTTTTGTCGCTATCTCTTTTGAAAGAAGCTTAGCTGGTATTTTTTGGCAAGGGGGAAGACTGGGGTAAGTTATTAGATCACTTAGTGGAAGGAATATATGTTTGCTACAGTTGAAATTTTGATTGTTCTCTATTAACAAAATTCTAGACTAACAATTACTTCTCTGAAAGTTAATGCAACCCGTATTTTCCTTTTGTATAGTTGTTTCTTCCAGCTATTTAGGAAGGCTGCCAAGAATGAAATCAAGGATGATCCTTTAAAAAATGTAATTTTTACACACACAGCACATGCGTACACACACACATACACTCTCACTGATCCATTTTGGAGCGCACCTGTATTACTATGTAACACAAAAAGTCATTGTGGTAGGCTGGCTTGCTGTACTAGTATCAGCATATCAGTAATGTTTATATTTGGTCATTTAGTATCACGTCATGAATAATCTTGTCTAGCAAAGTGTTTATCTGAAGGAACTAGAGTGTGTTACTTGTAGAGTTCAAGCCCTATTTATCATGTATTTTGCTGCTTTGAAAAAAGGGGGGTGGAAGTTATATTGCAGTGAATGAAACTGTAGTAACTCATGCAGTGTTTCAGTATTAGAAAGAGTTATTCCTAAAAGTGTCTATAATGCATTAAAGTTTATGAACATTGCTACTTACTAACAGCTTTGCAATTTCATTTGCAGATTTTTTTTCTTTTTTCTTTTTTTAAAGGAAGAGATCAATGCCCGCTGCCACAAACCCGTAGATCCGAACTTGTGGTCATATTCCACACAAGCTTGTATCTATAGGTATGTGTCTGCATGGCAAATGCACAAAACCTGGATATGGTTGTATTTATGCGTTTAAAGCGAGAATGTCCACTTTGCTACTAGCATCTCCCTCTAGTCCTCCTCCCCCTTTTAGGAAATATAAAATTAAAGCTGCAAATCTTGTTCTGCAATTATCATATCAGTTTTCAGCTTTCTTCATTATTAACATGCACTCATGGTTGTACAAAACCAATGATACACTTGTGCCTGAATAAAATGGGACACAGAGAGTTATTTGACATCAGGCTGAAGAAATTAAATCTCAGATGCATTATGTGTGGGTCTGGATATTTTTGGTTTGCTTGTATTTCCAATAGAGGCTGGAGAAGCAGAAAACAGAAACTTACTTCATTTTTAAAATAAGATGGATTCATTTGTACATTGATGAAATTGTATCCTTTCTGAAAAATGACATAGAGTTGTGTGTGGAGCAGTATAGTTCAGCAGTTTTGGCTGTATAGGTTGGCAAGTGACTCTCATACTCAGTTTCTGTTCCTCCAAAAGCCAGTGTAAAACTGAAATGATTCCACTGAAGTAATTGGATGTAGTTTAGAGTTACACTTTTGTATCCGAGAGTAGAATATGACCCTCCAACTATTATCCTTTATATAAAATTTGCTTATTTTGAAATCCTTTCCCCTCTCCATTTTGTTTTACTTTAGTTTAAATGTATTGTCCATTTTTTTAGTATTTGGGGGGAAAATACAATATAGCAAATTGCAAACAATTGCTAAAGGACAAAAAAATGTGGAAGCAGCAATACAATTTAATATAAAAATCTCTGTTTTCAAGCCATGAAAGTAAACCATTATTTTATTAAAAAATGAGGAACATCTAAAACCAGAGCCATCAATATATTTTACACATTAATACTTAGAAACTGTAGACTCAGAATCAAAACTTACTGGCTTCTATTAGGTTTCAGTGAAAATTCAGTTAAGGAGTTGGACTGCATTTCCTTTTTCAATTCCACTTTTCTATGAACTTTGTTGTATTCATGCACATTGCTCCAGTGCAAGACTGATTCGCC